ACACACACGGGTTCCGTTCGCACAAGCCTAGACAGCTCAAGCTCGAGGGCTGCGGTGCTGGGAAGTATGTCGCTCCGTGATCAAAAAGTCTCGGACCCTTGACAATTGGAACAGTTTTTTTTTGGGGGGGGGTTCTTATTATAAGTATAGTGTAATCTACCCCCCAAATCCCTATTCTAAGTAGTAAGGCCCGGGTATTACTGCGGTTTAGGGCTTGACCCTCAGGGCTTAGGGTTAAAATTTGGAACAGGTTTTTCTTTGAGGGAGGGGCCGGGGTTGTACAAGTGCTTTTTTATTCGGTGTTCTTGAGGCTTCAAAGAGCAAATCAGTAAACTCTACGACTACTCCTGCCACCGCCACTACAAGGACGACGACGATGATGCCGACGATTACAGGTAGTAATACTACTTCTCCTGCTTGTACTTCGATTTGTTTGTTTCTGCTTCCACCACTGCTGCTGTTGCTTCACCCGCACGACATACTGATTGCGACTGCTTAATTATGCACCTGTAGCTGACACTTAACAGCCTCCATCCAACCCAATGTAGGGGCGTTAATCATTCGAACAGGGTTTGGGTGACCGCACAGCTCTGTGGGAGACTATAAGGGGAGACTACTGCGAATGATTTAGACCTCTATACTCGACCAGGTACAGCCTCGGGTGAAATTGATCCAGTGCGGTCCCCCTTGTGTGAGAAATCATGGCACAACATTGGCTGAAAGCCAACTGAGAGAATGGAAAACCTGAAGGTGAATCTTTATGGGCTTTCATTTCATCTCTGAGGTGATGCGCAAACATCGAACCCTCAATAGGGAACCAAAAAAGCACCTAATCAAGCACAATTAGGCTGAGATATCCCATATAGCCTCCTGAAGGAAGCCAACAGAGTGAGGATATCCTGCCCGAGAGTTTATGTTTGGGTGCTTTCCTGGCTCCTGACTCAAGCCGGGAACGCACGCACCAAAGTCTCAAGTCAAGCTGCCCAAAACGATGACATTCCGGTCTCCTTTCGTGGCCTGCATCATGAAGCTGTAAAGTACTAAGGCAGTATTACTACAGTAATTTTGAAGAGGTCCTACAAAGAAATGGCATACCTACGTATTCAAATCCCTGTAGCTTGGCAGAGGTGTGGATCACTTCATAGCACGAGCTAGTGGTTGAATGACAGATGGTTTGGGATCTGGGGTTTAGGGTTTATGGGTTTATAAGTTATAAGGGTTTAGGGTTTATAAGTTATAAGGGTTTAGGGTTAAGGGTTTGTGGATTTAGGGTTTTAAGGGTGCGCTTGATCTTGCTCGTTCCTACACGGCACTGCATTGCGACTTCTAGCTGGCCTTCCTGGCATGAGACATCTCAAAGCCAATTCAACATGGGATTCGAGTTGTCGTGACCTGCATGCTTCAGTTCAATCCTCTGTCTACTGTCGGCATAATGCAGCTACCTAAACACCTCTAACCCAAACCCTCAACTTCAAAACCCTAAAACCCTAAGCCCCAAACCAAAAGCCCTTCCAGAGCTCCAGAGACGCAGGTCCTCATTCAACATGTACCCAAGTATTGGATATAGGTTAAACCCTCATGGTGCGGGGGTTTCGGGTTTAGGGTTTATGGTTTATCCACTTCGCTTCAAAAGGAATCGGCCCCCTGCCTCATGGAGAGCCTCGAACTCAAGAAGTCGGATCGCCTCCCCCTCCGCCATACCGAAGTAGCCCCTGCTTTTGAGCTTTCATCATAAAGGAGGAAAAAGAACAAGAACTTCGTCTAGGGCTTAGGGTTTACGCACAAGTCTGAAAAGTTGAACCTAGACCCCCTAGGCCCTAGAAGAAGAAGCGTCAAGACTCAGCCGTACATTTCTCTCTCATAGCAGGCAGACCGCCGTAGTCTCCGCAGACCCTCTTGCTGTGGGATCGGGGGATCAAGCAAGTAGTGTAATCAAGTTGATATATGGAGGGGTTGGTGGGGGGGACGGGGCGGTGGGGGCTTCGGATGTATGGCTCTTATATACCTTATACAGGATCCCCCGAATAAAACCTTACACCTCAGCCGCAAACGCCTCCCGACGTCCAAAACTGTGCACAAAGCTGGGCTGGAGTCGGGAACTTTCCAACGAGAAATCCAACGGCATAACGCCAAGGCACTAGCAAAAAGCGATTTCTCAACTTCGTCCACATGATGTAGGGGCCTTAATAATTAGAACAGGGTCAAGAGGGTTCCTTATTATAATTGCAGTATAAAATACCCCAAACCCTATTCTAATTAGTAGGGCCCCTCTATTAATGGGCTATTGAATCCTTACCAGAAAACGTGTTGATGAATCTCCTCGCAGCCTCCTATGACTAAAGAAAACATTTGGGTACTTCTCTAAATTAGGGCTCGGTCCCCCAAGTAGTCCGGCACCCTCATAAAAAAGACCCCCCAAAAACCCTAGAGAACTACCCATATGGGACTTTCCGAAAATTAGCGGTACCGTATTTTGGGGTCCTTATAATAAGGATCCTATTATTAAGGGTACTATTTTAGGGTCCCCTATTTTCGGAAACCCCCATATCCCGAAACCCTAAATCTAAACCCAATTGGAACCCGAATTTCGGATCCCCGGCGCCTCATCTCAGCCCAGACGTCCAAATGCGTGGACACCACAGTGAGAAGCTCCTGGGCTAGGGGAGGGTTTAGGGTTTAGGGTTTAGGGTTTAGGTTTTAGGGTTGAGGGTTTAGGGTTTAGGGTTTAGGGTAAACTCAACTAATGTAGGGGCCTGACTGTAGTAATTAGAATAGGGTTTGGGGGTCTAGTAAACTAAAATGCTAAGAAGGAACCCCCCAAAAAATCCGATTCTAATTATTGAGGCCCCTATACTAGGTTCTTCTGTTTTAAGCAGACAGAGACAGATGTTTAGGCTTTGTGGTTTAGGGCTTTGGGCTTTAGGGATCGGCTTGGGGTAGCACAGCTTCAATTCAGTGTTTGGGGCTTCGGGTTTGTCGTTTAGGATGGTTTAGGGTCACTGCTTCCTGTCTTGCAAAGCGCAAACCTTTAACGATGGTCTTTGGAAAATAGTGGCTCTTGCTTCAAAACGGAGCGAGAAGGCCCAATCGTTGCGCATGTTGTGATTCTACACCAAACGAGAGCCCCTAAACCCTAAACCCTAAACCGTGTGCTCTTGCCAATTTAAACTCGATGGGAAAGCACGGTCATAGAAGCTGCAAGGAGTTGGTATAAACCCTAATAACCCTACCTATAGTCTCCAATGTAGCTCCATTTTGGGGTTTAACCCAATGTATATTAAGGATCCTAAAAGGCAACCCCAGAAAGGAACTACACTAGAGACGATAGGTATAGGCCCTATAAGCCGCGTAAGCCTAAACCCTGAAGCCTCGGCCCTTAACCAGGGACCGACTCCTCCAGCAGCATTATTAACGACATGTCCACCCTAATCTCGAAATCCTGAAGGCCGCCCTGGATCGCCGAAGCCTGAACTGTGAGGTCAGGTTCAAGGTTCGGTGAGGTTTGAAAACCTCTACCCAAACCCTACACCCTACACCCTAAACCCTAAACCCTGAACCCTAATCCTCAAAACCCGAGCACTAAATCCTAAACCCTCATCCTCAAAACCCGAACACGAAGCCAAAAAATCCCAACCCGAAACCCTAAAGCCCTAAAGGCCTAAAACCCTAAAGCCCTAAAGCCCTAAAGCCCTAAAACCCTAAAGCCCAAACCCCAAATCCCGAGACCCTGAGACTCCGAACCCGAAACCACCAAGAACTCCAAATCCGAGTTACCCGAGACTCCCGACCCTAGCATCGGGTTTCGGCTTTAGGGTTTAGGGGTTTAGGGTTTAGGGTTTAGGGTTTAGGGTTTTAGGGTTTAGGGTTTAGGGTTTAGGGTTTAGGGTTTAGGGTTTAGCACTAGAACACGGATCTATGTCCAAAACCCTGAGCTCTACACTTTAAAACCCCGCTGAAGTCTTCTATATATATATATATATAGATAGATGTGTGTATATATATATATAGAAATCGAAATAGAACCCTTAAAGAAGCTTTCCTGGGTCACTGACCCCTTAACATTCCCCTCCGTGGGGCATTGTTATGTCGGAGGCGGACAACAGCGGCCGTCCTGTTCTCATCCGCACGGTTCCTGGAGGTTTTGCTAACTTGGCGGCATACTCTGCAGGGACCCGAAAATCGCTGCAAAAAATCGTGCAAAACTCTCTCCACAAGCCTTCGAACCCCTCAGACAGCCTTGAAACAGTTTCCCAAACATTCTGGGGCAATCGTTTGCCTTGGCTGGCGGACCGCTGAATCGAGCCCGATTCCATCCATTAGTATAGATCCGTGGTTCATAAGGCCACCTGAGCAAAAAAGGTGCTATAACTACAGTTTGTATAATTGTAAGTATAGGTCTATACTTAAATGGTTCAAGAGTCTTTGAGAATGGGAGTTTCAGGGATGTACATTATCATCCTTCTGGGACGCCTCGTGACACCCAGAACCTCACAATAGGCTGGGGTTTGCCGTTTGTGACCGAAGGTGTAGGGTTTAGGTTAGGGTTTAGGGTTTAGGGTGTAGGGTTCAAGGTTTAGGTTTTGGGGCGAAGGGCGTAATGTAGGGGCCTTCATAATTGGGATAGGGTTTTGGGCGCTCCTTATTATACTTGTAGTATGACATACCCCCAAACACGATTCGAAAAATGAAGGCCCCTATATTAGGGTGTCGCATTGAGATTGCAACGTAGTGGCCTGAAGAATCAGTAGCCGTATCCCCTTCTAGTGCCGTATTTTACAACAATAATTTCTGCGATCTGCCCGTGGACCCCAGCTATTGAGGCCTGTCTAAATGACATAACAGTATCCCCATATTGCCCATATTAAATACACAAGGATGAACCCAAAACCCCTACTCAAATTATCAAGGTCCCTCTCTCAAACCCTAGGGAAGCCAACAAACCCTGCAGAACCCTTGCACTTCCTAAAACCGCCAAGTTAGGGATGTAGGGTGCTCCTTGCCTGTCTAGCATAACAGTGGTCGCTTGCTCCAGCGGATAGCGCGAGAGCACCTGAGTAAAATTGGGGCCTTACTAAGCGAGACAGGGTTCCTCTTTGGGGGCTCTTCAATGGTTTAGGGTTTCGGGTTGAGGGTTTAGGGTTATATATAGAGTTTCGAGCTGAGGGTCGACTGCCGGGGCCATAAGTAAACATATGGGGGAGAGGTGGGCGGGGGCATACTATGCCACGCTATAGCTTCAATAGGGGCCCCTGCGGGAAGGTGTCTGCTTTAACGTCGCAGCGATCGCAAGAACTTTGTAAATGACTTAACATTCCCCGGAATCAGATAACGGGATTCCCGGAAAAGCGATCCTCAACCACATGATCTGCGACGAAGGGTGTGCATCTTAGACTTAGAAGGCTAACGATTTTGTGGCAAGGACGTTAAAAGACGTAACGTGAAACCGCGAAACCAGTACTAAGAGCTGGCAGGTGGAAGAAAGACAGACAGTACTGTGCTGCAAAACTACGACATACCGGTTCCGATGTGTTCCATGCATCAGTACTGACTTTCGAACGCTCCGATCGAACATCTCATTCCATAAAAAAAACCGTGACACCTTGCGAGCAGGTCACAAAGTCAATCATCGGTGAGGAGAGAGAATGCATGTACACACGGCTGTACGGTACGCAGAATAGATATGTAGGTAAAGATGAACCTGCACACACAAACAGTAGCACCACAGAAGTCAATGTTTCAGAAAAAGCAACAAGCCTGCACATCACGATGGTTACCGATAGTCGCATAACATAGAGGCCTTCAGAAATAGAACAGGGTCTTGGGGTATATTATAGTGTAGTTATAAGAAGGAACCCCCCCCCCCCAAAGTAGTATTGGTACTTATTCAGACCCCTATATTGGGAGTATGCGCATGGAGTCGACCGCATGAGCTTGGTCGAGTCAGTAGGCCGGGTTTAGGGTTCAGGTTGGGGGTTCAGGGTTAAGGGTTTAGGCTTGGGTTTAGGATTCTGGAACATAGGTTGACTTACCGGGCATGGTTAGCAAGATGGCATACTAACTCGACAAGTAAGACTCATGCCCTGTTTACAGCCACAAGCCCTTGCACAAAACCTGAGAAATTCCAAACGCTCCTGTCCTGGTCAAGAAGTTTATCTGGTCGAGAAGTTTATGATACAACAGACCCTCAGTCATCTCAACCTAAACCCTAAACCCTAAACCAGCCCATTTAGATTAAAAGAAACATTTAGTGCAAACGCCGAAGACGAATTCTGAGATCCGCCACGGCATTTCCACAGGTGAAACCGGCGATGCCTGGGACTGTTCTTGCATCGTTTAAGCGCTAGGGATTTAGGGTAGGTCCGGCTAGGTCTACGAATGAGGGGCTCAGGTGGCTTGGATGACAGCCTCGGGGGTTTTAGAGCTTTGGGGTTACGGCTTGGGGTGTTGGGCTTTGGCTTTAGGGCTGTGGGTGTTTGGTTGTGCATGTTTGGGCTTTGAGTTTGAGGCCTGTGGTGGACTTATAACCCCCAAGGGTCCAAAGTCACCAATAAGTAGGTGTCGGAGTTTGGAATAGTAGCAAAGTAGGTTGTCACCAGGTTAAGATACGTAGATAAGATCCTTACGGGTTTGGGGTGTAGGTTTGGAGAGTGCCAATAGGCCCAAGTTCCATTAAGGTTCAAGGGGAACACCCCGTAACCGCTGGCCCGAACTTCTTGAACTCCACGTCCTTTCATGCCGCCAACCCCAAATACAAACCCTGTCTTATGTGTGCTTTCTTTACGAGGCTCATTTTATTCAAACACCTTAACGCATGTTGCAAAGGATGAACACTGTTCAAAACAGCGAACATAATGGACCCTGCTTTAGGGCTCAAGCTTTGGGGTGAGCAAGGTTCGAGAGTTCGGACATTGAAATCGCGGCTCAAAGCTTCGGGCTTGAGAACAAGCCTTCAAAACAGCCAAACTCAAAGAAACAGGCGCTTAGTTGAAAGGGAGACTCTAAAAACCGTCAGTATAATTGGAACATCGAGGTCCCCGTACTGGTGCTTAAGGAAGAGTGAAGGAAGACAAGGACTACTAGAAGGGTTTAGGGTTTAGGGGCTTCGAGTAAAATGCACTCTCCAAATCCCCAGCAAGCACCAGCAAGAAATGCACATCCACGGGGTTTGGGTTCTCACCAGAAGCCGATCGCAAATTGCCGAAAAAATTAGGGTTTAGGGGTGTAGGGTTAGGGGTTTGGGGCTGAGGGTTGTACGGGTTGAGGGTTAAGGTCCGCAGGAACAAGGTGTGGAACCGACCATGTCAAACCAACAGGGAAGAAGACAACTTCGTCATCCTCGCTGAAGGCCTTCCCAGAGACTAGAACACCATAGCTTCGGCTTTACCTGAATTCCCTCTGCATGTCACCAAACAGCGTCAGGGCCAATGTCGAGGTCGTAGTTAATCAGAAAGGGGTTTGGGCCGGGGGTATATCGTAGCATAATTAGAGTGAGGAGCCCATTCTTCAAACTTGTAATCCGGCTTTTACACCACCTAGTTCAGAACAGCCCAGAGAGCCGAATAGCCGTAAAAAAGATTCTTCAACCATCAGAAGAAGCCCAGGGCTAAGGGTCTAGGGTTTCCAGAGAGGAGGTTTAGGGTTTAGGGTTTAAGGTTTAAGACTGTCGTTTACTTCAGTCGTATAGGGCTCTCTTGGAACTCCATGATGTGCAAGCCAGTTGGCCGCTTCGAAACGCCGGCGAGTAAACACCTGGGCGAGACTGACAATTGGCGTTTTCGGCTAGGAATGGAATATGATGTCATTTCGTGTTTTTTGTTTTCGTGAGGGTGGGTGTTAGGGTGTTAAATTAAAAGAACATATATATATATATACACACACTTATTTTTATATGTATATGCATATGTATATGTATATGTGTATATATATATATATATATGTATATTATGTATGTATGTATGCATGTATGTATGCATGTATGTATGCATGTATGTATTTTGTATGGATGGATGGTTGGATAGATGGATGGACGGATGGAAGGGATTGTACGAGTTGTATACCGGGATTCTGCAGCAGGTTTCCAGAGTGAGGTCTGGGATCTCTTAACAAGTAGGTGTACAGGTACGACGTAAGCAATGACACGCCCTAATCTCCGCTGATATCGAGGCAGTTATGAAGCAGACCGCAGACCTGTCTACTTCCACGGGTCCTTCTTGACACCCGCCTAGTTGTGGTCTGCAAGTACACGCAGCGCGCGAGCGGCCCGCGCTCTCTTCTTCTTCTTCTTTGCCTCAGTGGATCGGGTCCTGCACGTCGTGGGCGGGAAATCGCCGGGCTGTCGTCGGTCCACTCTGCCACCAACCCGTTTTTTGCCGAGCACCCCTCGCCTGAATGGCGGCTCTCCTTCTCTCTCAGCATCTCTTCTTCTCGTGGTTCACAGAGTCTGACGCCCATGAAAATCATCTGGCTTTGGATGTCTCTGGGATTAGCTTACGGCGATGCGCTCGTGGAAGAGCTTCGATTCTTGATTGTTTAGGGGTGACTTATGTATGGTAAACAGCTATCGGCATCGTGAAGGAGGCCTCAACAGTCAGTTCCATCCTCAGACAAACCACTGAGAAGTCTGGAGCGGGGGTATGAAATACCAGGCAGTCTCCTGTTTCGGTGTGTGCCTCACACATCATCCCTGGCTAAACCCTCAGCCCTCTTTTACTTTTCTTTTGACCCACCCTAAACCCTAAACCCTAAACCCTAAACCGTAAACCCTAAACCCTAGACCCTAAACCCGAAACCGTAAACCCTAAACCGTAAAACCTGGCGGATATCCGGACCTGGGGATCTCGGGCTACAGTGCTTGAGGTGTAGCTGGACCCTCAACAACTTCTACCTCCTTAAGGACTTCTATAAGGAAGCCAAGTCATATATGGAGCCCTGCGGGTTTAGGGCTTAGGGTTCAGGGGATCTTGGGTCTACGTTGTCCGGTTTGACGGGAACGCAAGATTCCCAGCAGTGAGCCTCCAAATCGGGACCGCCTTTACCGAAGAGCCAGGAGTCTAAAATCGAATCTGTGGTCGGTACTCGTCTTTCATAAAGTACGAGTAAATCATGGAGTTCAATCGCTTATCGCTCATGCTCTAGACGGTGGTTCCGCCGGCTGTTATGACGTCGTGGTCTGTAGCGATTGCGGTGGTTGCTGCCGCCGCCACTGCTGCGGTTGTTAATTGATGTTGATGCTGATGCTAACGCTGTTGTTGCGGTTGCTGCTGCTGCTGCTGCTGCTGCTGCTGCTGCTGCTGCTGCTGCTGGCGTTGGCTCATGGTGGTTGTCCTTTGGTGCTGGTGGGGTTATGGTGGTGGTGGTGGTGCTGCTGCTGCTGGAGGTGCTGCTGCCCCGGCGGTTGCTGGACGATGCGCTAAGAAATGCTACGTGCTTGTGGGCTTGGTTAGGACGTGGGCAGTTGAACAGCTTTTTTCCTGGGGCCCTTGCCTTCACGGTAGCCCAAGTCGGAAAGATGCTTCAGGAGGACAGCGCCGTCCTGGCCGAAAGGTGGCCAGACAAAGGCCTTTGCTAGTTAGATCAGGGCCTTGGGGGTATGCTATAGCTGCGGGACCATAAACTGGGCGCCACTGCTATTGCTAGTGCTCCTCCTACTACTACTACTACTA